GGCCCCCCCCCCCCGTCGCAGGTGGCGTCTTTCGCTCAGGTGGAGGCGCCGGCAGAGGACCCCGAGGTTGAAGTAGCAGAAGGCGGGGGCCCCGCGACATCATCCGGGCGGCACCGGGGTTCAAGCCGCCGGGAGAGCGCCGGCACGGGCGACCAGGATCCCTACTCCGCCGTCGACATGGACGTCTCTGGTGACGGGAAGGAGGAAGACGGAGCGGTGGGCGGGGAGGACGCGGTTTTGCCTGGGGGGCCCGCGCTGTTTGGCGAGCGGCCGGCGGATAGGTGAGCGACGGTGGTGGCGGTGGTGTCGCCTCGCCTTTTGAGTGTTCACACCAGTGCCGTCGAAACAGTCAAACGATTCACACACCGATCACATAACTCACCCACCCCACCTCAATCTTGATCAATTCCAATCGTCTCGAACCAGAGCGGCGCTAGATGGGGAGGAATCCTGGCCAATCCTGTCGAAAAGCCGATTCAAGCACCAATCACATTACTCAATCCACCTGCATGTTGGTCAATTTTTCTCCGGACAACCCCCCCTACAGCGGCGCTGGGTGGGAAGAGATCCTGGCGAAGAGCTACAAGGAGCATCAGACGAGCCAGGCGGCTCGGCTAGGTAGAGGCAAGAGGGAAAAGACTCAGGCGAGTCGTCTGAACTTCGGGCGGGGGCGTACTCATGGTTGCATGCCTTAGCAGTTAGACCGTTGCCCCGACGAGTCCTCGAGAGCACTCATCAGTGTTCCCACAGGATATCGATCGCCAATGATGGCAAGCCAGTTGTTGCTTGGGTTGCGCTCGTCGTAGGGATGGGTTTGTCGCAGTTGGCGGTGCTCGTTGTGGCTGTTGCCTCCTCCGTGTTGCTCTCTGAGAGCCTTCCGTACGGCCGGTCGCGGCGACTGGCCAACACAACAGTGCTGTGCCGGTGAGAGCAATTCAACTCTCAGAACAAACGACTCGACAACGCCGGAGAGAATGCAGGCCATGGCACACACGCTAGATGGGTTTCCAAGATGATGGCAACGTCGAAAAGCGTGGTGTCTGTTCGGAAAATATCTCGTGCTTTTCGTTGCGCGTATCGATCGTTTTCGTTCTCTCCCTGTTGGCCAGTCGTGGAGCAGGCGAGCTTTAAGGTCGTTCGTTCGAAGGGTGTCTGCGATCACTCGCACTCTTTTCGGCACGCCGTATTTTTTGTTCTCAGTATCGCCGTGTTGTCCCCCCGAAGGACAGGTGCGTCCGTGCGTTTTTGTTCTTGCAACAACGCGGCGCTCCGGTGCAGTGCTTTTCCTCTACGACTATTTTTCTGTTCTTGCACAATGCGGGGCTCTGGCGCTGTGCTTCGCAAAGGGCACACTATTTTGTTGTTATTACTGTACCGCGGCGCTCCTCCTGTGTTTCCCCCCCTTCGGACACAGGTTCGGCCTTACGCCGCCGAGGAGGACGAACACGACGCCGCGAACCACGGGGGCGGCGGTAGCAGCAACGGCAGCCTCCGTCATGGCGAGGAGGGGCGAGAGGAAGGCGACGACGATGGCGACGACGACGACGATGGCGACGACGACATGGACGAGTACGGTTCGGAGCAGCCGGACGCGGAGTTCGAGCCGCCTACCTCCAAGGCTGCGGCTGCGGCTGCGGCGGCTGCGGCTGCTGCTGCTGCGGCTGCCGCCGCCGCTTCGCCGGGAGGTGGGGGCGAGGCGCTGGCGGGGGCTCCTGTTAAGAAGACAAGGCACCGCCAGCGGGTGAGAATTTGTACGGGGGGTACGCTGTTGGTTACGGGGGGGGTTGGTTGGTAGAGGAAGTGTGTACCATGCGCGAGAAGGGGGCTTCCTGTCAAGGAGACGAGGCACGTGAGCAGATAGCAAGGAGTCTCACGAAGCGCCGGAGCTGCTGCGTTGCTACCCTTACGACAAGATAAACACTGGTCCTTCATCCAGTTTCGAGCAGTGCATCAAGCCTTTCATTTCATGAACCCCCTCTTGAAGATAGAGGGTGGGGGACACGCTGTTGGTTGAGAAAGAGGGGGTGTAGTTTCTTTTTGAAGATAGTGGACAGGCCGGACGGGTAGCCGCTGTCAAGGGGAGGGGCACCGAGTTTGTACAACATCAATATAGCTCCTGCTGGTGCTCTTGCTAATTCTTGTTCTGCTGGTGCTGGTGCTGCAGTGCTGCTCGTTGCTCTTGCTAATTCCTGTGCTGCTGGCACCTTGCTGTGTCGTTCACGTTCGCTGTCGTTTTGGATGTACCATATGTCGCAGGACTCGCCCATCGAGGTGCTCGAGACCACGGAGGGTATCAAGACCATCGTGAGGTGCGTGACTCGCTTCGGGGTGCCGGACGGAGACTGGCGGCCGTGCATGGAGGCGGTGGTGACGAACTCGAGGCTGCATCTCGACCCGGCGTTCGCGAGGGACATCGGTCCTGGTGCGTGGGTGTGCTGTTTATGTAGACGTGGTGCCGCGGAGGGTGTGTCCGTGTTTGTGCTGTAGTCTAGTCGCGATGTCGGAACAGAGAAAAATCCGTCCACGCTGGCAACAGGTGAAGGAGTGTTGTTTCTTTGTTTGGGTGTTTTTTTTGGCTTTGTTTGTTGTTGTTGTTGTTGTTGTTGTTGTTGTTGTTGTTGTTGTTGTTGTTGTTGTTGTTGTTGTTGTTGTTGTTGTTGTTGGTGTTGGTGTTGGTGCAGTAGTGGCGTTGGTTTTTCTGTTGCGCGGTGTTGTTGGTGTTCGTGTGGTAGACATTGGTGTTGATGTCGTGGTAGGCCGAGGAACATCTGGGCCTCATTGTTGGCCATATTGATCTTAGGAACAAAACCTGAAACAGAACACGCAACCGATGATTTCCGCTCCCATTTTGACTGTGTTGATTGTGTGAACTTACACGCCCACCACCCGACCTGCAACCCCCAGCCAAGCCGTTTTTGCAGAGCGCTTTGAAGAAGGCCCTGGAGCCCGACTACCCCCACGCGGCGGGCAAGCGGCGAGAGCTGCTGTCTAGGATAGCGGCGATGGAGCTTGTGTTCCGGAAGCTCCAAGAGTGCAAAGGAAAGCCCTTCGACATTCAGGCAAGAGTCATTGGAGATGTAAGAGAGATAGAGAGAGAGAGAGAGAGAGAGAGAGAGAGAGAGAGAGAGANAGACGCTCCGCCAGAGTTGAAGGGCAATGGACCAAAAGGGGTAAGTAACGCGGGCAAGATAATAAAGTAATGAAATATCTGCAGCAGTAGACCTTGACCTTGCATGGTACGAGAACGGGTTCTGCATCGGTACCATTTGAGGAGTGCCCGTCATGAGCGATAGATCGAAAGCCACCGTCGCCCCTTCTCCTTTGATTGGAAGCATTCACGACCTGAAATCATTTATTTGCGTGGCCCCCCTCCAACGTAAAGACGCTTTTTTATGTCGCGGTGCCCTGTCTCAGACAACCTTTGCGTCATGTACATTAACCAGGGGACTTGTCCTTTGGTTGAAAGCCCCCCCCCCCCGTCCTCGACTTGAAACCATGTGTTTGCGTGGCCCCCTGGCGTTATTTTGTTGTTGCGGAACCCTACCTGTATCAGGACAAGCTTTGCGGGGTGTACATTAACCAGGCGAAGGGTGGGGGCTTGGAGGAGTGGTCGCGAGAGAACGACCGAAGCCTTCTGATCGGTCTGCTCAAGCACGGCAACTCGCGATACCAGGCGATGGTGCAGGATGATACCCTAGGGCTCCGGCCTGCCCTCGAGCTCGCCCTCGCTAGCGGTACGCTTTCCTGCTGTTGTTGTTGTTGTTGTTGTTGTTGTTGTTGTTGTTGTTGTTGTTGTTGTTGTTGCTGATGTTAGTGATGCTGTTGTTGTTGTTGTTGTTGTTGTTGTTGTTGTTGTTGTTGTTGTTGTTGTTGTTGTTGTTGTTGTTGTTGGTGTTGGTGTTGTTGTTGCTCTTGATATTGTGGTTTGTTGTGGTTTGTTGTTGTTGTTGTTGTTGTTGTTGTTGTTGTTGTTGGTGGTGATGCAGCTGCTGAAGTTGGTGCATGAAATATCAGGATGTCCTTCATGGTGAGCCGTGCTTGCTTTGCAAATCTCTCTACTGTCGAGTTGGCGCATGTGATGTTATGTAGAATGAATCACCCTGGCCACTTGGGTTATGATTACACATTTTTGGTGTTCATTAGGGGGGGGCGCGTCCTGGCAGCTGGCTTGGGGAGAGGACGGCCCAACCGGGCAGCCGGGGTTCAAAGGCAGCCCGGAGTGGAAGTTCGTCAAAGACCGGGTGAGATATCAAAAGAGACGCGAGATACTTGTGAAAGAGATGTGAGATAATAATATCGATGCGAGACAATAAAGAGATGATGATCCCTGTGGTGCAAGAGGTAAGGAGTGAATATATATATTTGTATATGGGTGAGAGATTATTGCATGATAGAGATGACAAAGAAATGTGAGATAATAAAATCGATGTGAGATAATAAAATAGATGATGATCCCTTTGGTGCGGGAGGAAAGGAGTGAGGATATGCGGGTGAGACAGTAAAGAGACAATAGCATGATAGAGATAGTAAAAGAGATGAGATAATACAATCGATGTGAGACAATGACAGAGATGATGGTCCCATTGGTGTGAGAGGTAGGGAGTGAAGATATACGGGTGAGATAATATAGAGCGAAAAGCATTATGATACATTTTGTGGAAAGAGGTCACGATGATTGAGTGATGAAGTAGGGCATAGACCGGATGAGATAATATAATATGAGTCGTGATATATTTTGTGGGAGAGGGCACAATGATTGAGTGATGAGGTACGTCAAGGACCGGATGAGATGGTTTAGAAAGATTGGACATGGTGCGTTTTGCGGGAGAGGTCACGATGTTTGGGTGAGGAAACACGGGTGACATACTCAAGGATGGACACATTATGCAAATGTTGTGACAGAGGTCACGATGATCCGAGTGAGGAAGTACGTCCAACACCGGGCAAGACTTGAAACAGAATGAAACATACCTGTGGTGCCAGATATGATGATTACTGAGTGGCAGCGAAGACAAGACCATGGTCCATGAGTGCTTCCGAGAAAGAAGTCCAGTGATGCTAGGTAGGATCGGACAAGAGATGCAGCAAACTTTCGTAATGAGTACTGCTGTACCTGGCAGGGTTAAAAGGCTCCTTTGTGCTTAGCGTTTTGCTCCGACTCCAGCCTGTCTTTTGCACTCTGCCTGGTCTAAGCGCTTCACCAGCTCGATCGGTGGGAAGCTTGTCGTTGAAATACAATTGTCGCCTCCTTTGTGGTACATGTTTCGTTCGGGCTTTCATGGTGCAGATATCGGTCTGTCTCTTGTTCCGCTGTTCAGTGCGCATATGTCTTGGTTCTCTTGCGTCCATGCGACGGCGCCCTTGTGGACAGCCTAGTGCGAATGTGTTGGTTCCGCTTGTTCGATGTTGTGAACTTCGGAGCACATACGGCAGCAGCGGCTACAGTTTAAGACATTTTATGAGAGAATCGGATTTTTGGGACGTTTTTTTTGGCCTGTCAAGGCCCGTACCCACCATTGCCATATACTCATATCTTGTCCTCCTCCGGTTGGTTCTGTGCCTGTGTTTACTACCGCTCTGCAGCTGCTCTTACTCGAGAGAGCTCTGGTGGACGAGCACCAGTATAGGCAGGGCAAGGCTTCCCTCGAGAGGGAGCTCAAGACCCTGCTGGCCAGATACCAGAAGTCGCTCGGCCCGAACGACCAGGTGAGACGTGCAGTAGTCTACGCAGCAAAATTGGCTAAGCATATGGGATAAAGTATTCAATCCATGCTTTGGGGGTTTGGGTTCGGGTTCGGGTTAGGGGTAGGGTCTGCGTGCCCCCTCCCTGCTTTTTTCTAGATACTCTCAATATCCTGGGTAGGCGGTCCGTGACGGGGCATGTTCTAGATACTCTTAAAATCCTGGGTAGGCGGTCCCCTGACGCGGCAGCCGCGGCAGCCGCGGTAATCTTCTGTCTCCGCAGGTTTTTCCAAGCGAGCGAACATGCTGGATGAAGCATACAGTAGGTGACACAAGATACCACGCACCCCGGACCGATTTTCAGAAAGCTCGACTATTCCACGAAGAAGGGAGTGAAAATACATCTCAATCGATGCGTTTTCTGGAAAGATCTGGACGAGATTGTTCCAACACCGCCACTTTCGGCACCGCCACTTTCGGCACCGCCACTCTCCTCTGCTGTGGAGTGCTCGAGCTTTGAAAGTCGGTGAAGGGTGTGTGTCGTACCTTGTGTCACCATCGGTAGAATGGGCTGAATTGGAGGTTAGGGTCTTCGTGCCCCCTCCCTGGTCTTTTTTCGCAAAAATATTACTCTCTTTGGCGTGGGCAATCCTCCCAGCGGCGGCAGTATTGCGTGGCTCGAGGCGTCAGTGCCGGGCAGTATCATCCACACGTTTGACGCGTGTCGACTAAGAAATTCGCACACGATTGTAGTAGCCTAAACTCCTCCCCCCGCACCGGATCCCCCCCCCCGGTGTTTGCCATCGGGGTTGGGTTTTCGTCGCTTGGCA